AGACCTATCCTAAACTGGCTTCTCTTAATAAGCCCTTGAGGGAAGGTGGCTGGCTCTAAAAATTAGTAGCTCTTAGAATATAGAGTTCTTACATAGTACCTTTAACCCTCTGCTTGGAGCCTTCACTGAAATTCTAGGACATCAAAAAAAATCCCACTTAACATCCTGTTAGAAACATTAACTGGATGAAGCATGTGACCCACTAAAGGGAATTCTCCCATAGAGATCAATGTTCCCTTTAAAGGAATCAGGGTGAGTAGTGTCCTAAATTATAACTTCCTAATATTAGTCATAAAAATTAAAAAACAACCTTCACTGTTCTATAACTGTCCTTTGACTCTTTTCTTTGTTAATGCTCTATTACCATTCCCCTAGGTCCCTAAACTTGGTCTGTTGCCTTAACACTCTTTTACCTAATTAAGAAATTATATTGTCAGTCATGCCTACATTCTTTCCTCCTTTCCAGAGGAAATATTGTAATATTGTTCTCATTCCCTCTTGTTACCTTATAGTTAACCCTCATCTAAAATACACGAAATTATTACCCCATATCTTTTTTCTATTTGCTACCAAATTTCTTAAAGGAATAGCCTAAACATACCCACTAGAATGCCAAAAGTAGAAGATAATATTAAGGACGTAAAGCAACTGAAACTGTCTTACTCTGCTAGTAGAGTGGTTTGATTGGATAAATAAATAGTGTATATTCATCCAACAATAGAATGATGCAACAACATGGATGAATTTCACAAACACAATGTCAGATCAAAGAAATCAGACAAAGGATACATATACTGATGATAAACAAAAAGAACCAAACTCACTGCCATCGAGTCAATTGCAACTCATAGCGACCCCCCTTTGGGTTTCCAAGGCAATAAATCTTTTCTGTGCGTGTATATAATTTGGATGAAATTTTACAGAGAAAATTCACTTTCCATACAGCAGTTTACATACACTCATGTCTCATGACACTGACCACAACTCACCACAATGCAACAGCTCCCCTCCCACTTCCTCCCAACAGTTACCTCTTCCCTGTGTCCATCCCTCCATGCACCCCTGCCCCCTGAGCTGTCTCCCTGTACATAAACAGCTCTTCTTTCTCCCATGATTGTTCTCTCCATGGAGTGTATCTACTTCAGGTGAATGTTCAACTCCTATGCCTATCTTTCTTTTGTTTGGCTGGAAGCCACAGATGTGGGTTCAATTCCAGACCTGAAAGGCAGCTAGGGGCCATAGTCTTAGTGGTTCCATCAGGCTCTATCAGACCAGCAAACCTAGTCCCCC